GCAAGTTGCGTAAGTTGTTTTGCATGTCAACAATGACATCATGCCTCACTGTCTCTCTCCCTGCAGTTAAGAAGAAATTCAAATTGGGACACAAACGAACCGGCAGCTCTGACAGCAAGGTGTCTTTGGGTCCTTTCTCCCTGCTGGGCCGCTCCAAGCAGAGCAACAGTGACCTAAACAACCTGTGCATTAACGGCAGCCATGTGTACACAGAGGAGACAGAACCCAAGAGTGGATCTACACTCAGTCTGAACAGCTCTGGTCGAGGCTCTGTGGAAGATGTCCGCAAACACACTTCTGATCTCTCTGCAGATGCTTTCAGGAGTGTATCTGTCCCATCAACAGACAGAGCTTCACAAGAACAACAGCACCATCAAGAGGAGGAGGAAAGAAGGCAAGCAGAAGAAAGGCGCATAGCAGAAGCAAAGAGGATTGAGGAAGAGGAGAAACACAGGGCACAGCTCAAGAGGCTGCAGGAGGAAGAGGAGCGTAGACTGCAAGAGGAACAGGAGAGGAAGAGACGCTTCCTAGAGGATGAGGCCAGGAGGAAGAAACAGATGGAGGAGGATGAGAGGCGAAAGCAAGAAGAGCAACGCAAGATGATGGAAGCAGCAGAAAATCAGCGGCTTGAGGAGGAGCGTCGTCGAGCAGAGGAGCAGAAACGTCAGGAGGAGGCGTCCATGAGTGACAGACTGTCGTCCTTGTTCGGGATGATCAAGAAGAAGGAGGAGAAAAAGGAGGAGGTACAGCTGCCCACCCCAGCCCGTACTTTGGATGCGCAAGATCCCAATCAGCCTGTTTCCCGTCATTCCACGAACCCATTTGAGGACATCACCCTCAGCTCAGATGTTTCTCTAAGCAGCAATGTCAGCCCAACCGATCATCAGAAATCCAGCAGCAAGGCACAAACCCCCTCTGCCATGGTCTTCCTTAACCGCACCGCAAAAGTGTCTGCAGTCAAACCCAGGTAGGCCTTTTTCTCACTACATTGCACAAAGCACACTTAACCATACAGTCTGCACTAAATATGTCATGATGTCAGGTGCTTCTGATTGGTCAGTTTT